AGGACGTTTTGATTACAGTGGCTTTGTAATACAGTTTGAAGTCTGGTAATGTGATCCCTCCCACTCTGTTCTTTTTTCTCAAGATGGCTGCAGCTATTTGGGGTCTTTTTTGGTTCCATATAAATTTTTGCAATGTTTGTTCTAGGTCTGTGAAATATGCTGTAGGTATTTTAATAGGAATTGCATTAAATTTATAAATTGCTTTTGGTATTAATTCAAATATTATTTAAATATTATCTCTTATGTCAGAGCTAATTTATACTTTTTAGAAATAGCATTAAAAACAAATATAAATACTGTATAAAAAGGTTTAAATAATTATACCATTTTTTATGACTCAAGATTCTTTTATGTTTAGGCTGACAGGTATTAATTTCCTAAAGGTATCACCGAACATTTCTGGAAGGTGTTTTGTTTGCCCATATAGCTTTTTCTTTAATGGTAGGAATGGTAATTACTTTTTTTCATAAAAACCATATACACATGCATATAGACATATAGACATATATGTAGAGAGAAGAGTTTGGTTTTTATCTTTCCAGTCTGTTTTCCAAACACATACAAACATACATTCAATGTATTTGTTTTACAAAAATGGAATACATACACACATGATCTTAGAATTTGCTCTTTTCTCTTTGGACATCTGTCCATGTCAACAAGTGCAGATTACATTGTTTTCCCAAAGAAAATTTCCCAATTTTCATATTTTATATTTTAAAAATAAAAACATTTAAATAAAAAATATAGAGAGACCAATATATTTTTTATTTTAAATGTTTTTATTTTTCTATTTTAATTGACATACAATATTATATTAGTTTCAGGTTTACGACATAGTGATTAGACATTTATATAACTTACAAAGTGATCACCCTAATAAATCTAGATTTTTTTTTAAATTTTTTCTTTGGGTGAAGATAAGCTCCTTTATAAGGACTCTTTTTTTATTATTTAAAATTTTTAAATTTAAGCGTAGTTGGTATACAATATTATAATAGTTTCAGGTGTAAGACTCATTTTACCTTAATTTGAAGACTCATTCTTCTGTTTGAATGTGGTAGTTACCCAGTGTTTGGATAAATTAATCAATAAAAGGAGGGTCTCTTTAATAGTGTCATTAATTTAAAGCATTTCTGGGGAAGGATTTCTTTTATATAAGATTATTATTCTCATATGAAGAACACGATGACATATGGCTATAAAGAATGCCACACAGGATCCCATCTGTAGTCTCTCCAGTGTTTTTGATGGATAGTGATCATGGTCTTCCCCTGTAGCACTCATTCCATCCTCCCAAAGGCTAACATGAAGAATGGGGAGAATTATTGTAAGGATCCTTGCGGCCAAAATGGAATCTTGTGGAAACCTAATACAGTTATTATTGTGACACTGAACTCCAAGTTGTTCTAAAGGTAGCTTTAGGGACATCCTGAATCTAATATTGCATGAACATAGTTCAATTATTGTCCTTTGTCTACTTTTTTATAACTTGCCATTGGCTTCCTTACCTCTTTTTCTGCCTTACTGTTTTAGCTTATTCTTAATTTTGACTTGCTCATGGCCCCTTAATTCTACTTCATGTTCTTCCTCTGTCAGTCCTTTCAACTCCCTCTGTCTATAGGTCTGATTCTTTCCACACTTTTGGAAATATTTCCAAATTTCTGCTAAAGTCTGATTCTTTCTATGCTGTATTTCTAGAAATACTTTCATACTGCTACCTACAGTCTGATTGTTTCTATAGTTCTGAATTTTTGAACATAAGATTCTGACCCATCTTATTACTGTTTAGCTATACCAGACCTTCTCATAGGCTGCCAGTAGCATATATAGGATGGCTTCCTGTACTTTATCAACTGTCCCAATCAACTGTGAACCAGGATCAAAGGACAGAGTTGTTGGAATAAAACATGAACCTGATCCCTCAGCAGGAATGGAGTAGGCCAGTTTCCCTTAGAATAATCAAAGCATGTTGGCAAGCACCATGATGTATGTATTTATCTAGTATATCTGTTAACCTGAAAATATTGTTAATGTGGAAATCAAGGCTAATGTTATATTTTATAATATTTTTGTTATAGAATCAGCATTTATCAACTATAACAACATTTGAGAAATACAGAGAACCAAAAAGAAGAAAAGAAAACATTTCCAGTCTTCCCAGCCATAGTGTTCTTTAAGTACTTAGTGTTTTGGAAAAAGCAAAAGTGCTATAGGAGTTCAGGAAACCAAGAGATAATGATTATTAGAGAAAAAGTAGTCAATACACAGTGGGAAGGAGAAATTTGAGTTAGGCCATGATGTATACTGACGATTTCATCTACAGAGGGCAGGGCATTCTAGTAAAGATGCAATAGAAGAAGACACATAGGAGAGAGGTCTGTGCTATAGATAAAACTGTGAGAAGCTTTTATCTATTAAACTGGCAAAGATGTATGCCTCATATAGGTTATGATGTAGAAAAACAGGTACCCTTTCCTATTGATAAGAATGTAAATTGGCGAATCTTTTTTATAGGGTAATTTGGCAAGATATATTAAAATTTAGAGCATGCTGATCATTTGATTCAGCAATTTCATTTCTAGAAATTAATTACACAGATGTATTCATGTAAGTATGCAAAGATGGATGTACAGAGAGTTTGTGTACGATTGCAATTACTCTTTCTTTGAAAGTTTAGTAGAACTTACTAGTGAGGTTATCTGGGTATGGAGTTTTCTTATGGAAAGAGTTTTGAGGAGTGATTCAATTTCTTTAATGGTCATAGGTTGTAAATTTTATTTTTCTATGAATTTATCCAGGAGTTTTAGTTTTCAGCAGGAAGGTTAATCCAGATACCTGGCCTGCCATATATCACTTCGTATTACAACATTGAGTTCAAGTCCATATAACTTTGAGTTTAATTTGCATTTTTAAAAATTCTTCTATAGTTTTTGTCTTGAATCATCAAGGACTAAATAAAAGTTTCTCATTTCTTACTAACATCATACATTTTATTTTCCAGCTACACCATCAACGACTACTACCACCACCACCACCACAACCACCACAACCACTAGTGAATTTACCTTCAGTGGAAAACCACTGATATCAACTGGGATTAATTACACTATTCCAGTCAGTTTTGCTTCTACACCTTTAACTTCAACTGTTAAGTAAGCCTATTTATTTGAAAATTTGTGTGTTTCATTTTATTTATCATGTGTAGGCATAATTTGCTTATATAACTTTAGAATAGCGTTTGAAAATTAGGTAAATGACTCAAGAGTTGAAGGAGCTGTTAGAGAAAGAATTTCTGTAGTTTAGGAAGTTGAACAACTAACAGGATACTTTTGTCCTCTGAATACCATTCTAATAAAATTATTAATATTACTAATAATAGCTAACATTTATTGTATAATTATTATGTGTGTAACAATTTGACAATGCTTTACAAATATCATATCTTTTAATCCTCACAGTAACCCTATGAGATAAGCACTATTTTTTTCCATTTTATAAATGAGAAAACTGGAGCACATAGAGATTTTATAATTTGCTCCTGGTCACACATTTGGTAATGGCTGAGCCAGGATTAAAATTCAGGCAGTTGAACTCCTAGCCTGTATTCTTATCTATGTCATGCTCCTCTCTAATTGTCCTTGTTTTTCATTAACTTTTTATTTTGAGATAATTGTAGATTCATATGTACTTCTAAGAAATAATACCAAAAATTATGTATCTTTGTACCCAGGTTCCCCCAATAATAACTCTAGTACAATATACATGCAGGATATTGACATTGATACAGTCAAGATACAGAACAGTTCCGTCACCACAAGGATCCCTCATGTTACCCCTTTATAGCCACACTCACAACCTCCTTTCCCTGACCCTGGGCAACAATTAATCTGCTCTCCATTTCTATAACATTGACATTTTTAGAAATGTTATTCAAATGAAATCAAACAATATATGATTTTAGGATATTAGTTTTTGTTTTTTTTTAGTGGGCATAATTATTTGAGATAAAGTTGTCATGTGCATCAATAGTTTGTTCTTTTTTATTTCTCAGTAGTATTCCATGGCATTGTGGATCTACCATAGTTTGTATAACTGTTCACATATTGATGGACATCTAGGTTGTTTCCAGTTTGGGGCTACTATGAATAAAACTTTAATGAACATTGTGTACAGTTTTTTTGTAAACCTAGTCTCACTTCTCTGGGATTAATGCCCAGGAGTATAGTTGCTGGGTGGGATGGGAGGTACATGTTTATATTTTTAAGAAACTGCCAAGTTCTTTTTCAGAATGGCTGTGCCATATTACATGCCCAACAGCAATGTGTGAGGGATTCAGTTTGCCCCCATTCTTGCCAAGATTTGTTGTTGTCACTATTTTTATTTTATTTTAGCCCTTCTAATAGATATAAAGATATCTCATTGTGGTTTTAATTTCTATTTTCCTTCTGATTAATGATGAACATTTTCATGTGTTTATATTCCATCAGCATATCTTCTTTGGTGAAGTGTCTGTTCATGTATTTTGTCCTTTTTCTACTTGAATTTGTGTTTTTTACTAAGTTTTGTATATTCTTGATACCAGTTCTTTATCAGACATGTGGTTTATAAATATTTTTTCTAACACTGGAACTTGTCTTTTTATATTTTCAACATGGTATTTTGTCAAACAAAAACTTTAAATTGATGAGGGCTAATTTACCAATTTTTCCTTTAATGGATTATTCTTTTAGTATGAAATATAAGAGCTCTTTGTCTAACTCTAGTTATAGTTTTACATTATATATTTAAGCTCATGATCCATTTTGAGTTCATTTTGGTATAAGATGTGAGTTTTATTGAGGTTCATTTTTTTTTCCATCTAGGTATATTCAATTTTTCCATCATCATTTGTTCAAAGGCTATCTTCCTCCATTGAATTGCTTTTGCACCTTTCTCAAAAATCAGCTGGATATATTTGTGTTAAAAGTTTTTTCTGCCTAAATTGATATGATCATTTAGGGTTTTTCTTTGCTTAATAGTACGGCGAATTACATTGATTGTTTTTCAAATGTCGAACCAGCCTTACATATGTGGTATAAATACCACTTGGTATATAATTTTTTTATACATTTTTGGATTTGGTTTCTAGTGTTTTGTTTGAGGACTGTTGTATCTAAGTTCATGAGAAATATTTGTCTGTAGTTTTGTTTTCTATCTTTTTTATTCTTTCCCTGGTTTTGATATCCAGATAATACTGATGTCATAAAATGATCCAGAACTATTCTCTTCTGTTTTAATTGTGTAAAATCCGAGTTAATTCATTGAAGTTTGGTAGATTTCTCCAGTAAAACCTCTGGGCCTGGATATTATTTGGGGGAGCTTTTAAATTGCAAGTCATTCTTTAGTGGTTCTAGGACTATTCAGGTTATCTGTTTCATCTTTGATGCATTTTAGTACTGTGTGGCTTTTAAGGAATGGTCTATTTCTTCTAAGTAATCAAATTTATGAGTGTAAAGTTGTTTGTATTATTCCCTTTTTGTCCTTTTGATAGCTGTAGGGATATTTCCATTTCATTTCTGATATTGGTGTTTTGTTCCTTTCTTTTATCAACTTTATCAATCTTTTCCCAAAGAAGTAACTTTTGTTTCACTGACTAGTTTCTGTTGTTTTTATTTTCAATTTTATTCATATCTACTCATTATTATTTTTTTTCTGACTATGTTGGGCTCATTTTGCTCTTTTTTCTAGTTATTTGAAGTATGAACTTTAATTATTGATTTGAGACATTTCCTATTTTCTAATGTAAACATTTAATACTATAAATATTATTATTCTCAATACTGCATTAGCTGTGTACATATTTAGTTATGTTGTGTTTTTTATTTTCATTCATTTCTATGTACAGTTGACCCTTGAACAATCTGGGTTTGAACTTCATGGGTCCACTTATACACAGATTTTTAAAAATAAAAACTATAAATGTATTTTCTTTATGATTTTCTTAATAACATTTTCTTTTCTCTAGCTTACTTTATTATAAGAACACACTATATAATACACATACAAAATATGTGTTAATTGACAATTTGTTGTTGGTTAGGCTTCTGGTCAACAGTAGGCTGTTAGTAGTTAAGTTTTGGGGGAGTCAAAAGTTATACATAGGCCATAGCTGTTTGTGCTCAGTGATTAGAGCTTCGGCCCTTGTACTGAAGGGTCCTGGGTTTGATTCTGCCCAAGGGCACATACCTCAGTTGCAGGCTTGATCCCTGGCCCTAGTTGGGGCACATGTGGGAGGCAACCAATTGATGTGTCTCTCTCACATCAATGTTTCTCTCTCTCTCTCTCTCTCTCTCTCTCTCTCTCTCTCTCTCTCCCTCTCCCTCTCTCTCTCTCTCTCCTCTCTCTCTCTCTTCCTCCCTTCCAGTCTCTCCGAAAAGCAATGGAAAAAAATATCCTCAGGTGAAGATTTAAAAAGTTATAAATGGATTTTCCTCCTGAAATTAATATGAAATAATATTGACTGTCAACAATAATTGAAAAAACAAAGTTATTCATGGATTTTTAACTGCAGGGGTGTTGCCACCCCTAACCCCATGTTGTTCAAGGGTCAAGTGTATTTTCAAATTTTCTTTTATGAATTCCTCTTTGATTCATAGATTATTTAGAATTGTGTTGTTTAATTTCCAAGTGTTTGGAGATTTTTCTTGTTTTCTTTCTATGTTGATTTCTAGTTTGATTTCATCATGTTTGGAGAGCATGCTCTGTATGTTTTCATTTCTTTTATATTTGTTCAGGTTTGTTTTATGAATGAGGATATGGTCTTTCTTGGTGAATATTCCATGGGCATCTGAAAGTTGTGTTTTCTGCGGTTGGTAGGAGTGTACTATAAAAGATAATTAGATGCTGTTGCTTCGTTGTATTTTTAGATCTGCTTTTAAGGTTTTTTTCTTTCTTTATCTTTAGTTTTCAGAAATTAAATGCTGTGTGTATTGTTCTGTTTGGGGGTTTGCTCAGCTTCTTGAATAGTTTATATCTTTTGCCAAATTTGTGAAGTTTTCAACCTTTAGTTTTCAGATAACATTTCCAATTCCATTCTCTGTTTTCCTTTCTAACATATCATCCTCTGATGTTACAAATGTTACCTCTTTTTATTACTGTCCTCCAGGATCCTTGAGATTTTTTTCATTTTTTGTGTGTCTATTTTCTCTCTGCTGCTCTGTAAATTCTATTGATCTATTTTCAAATTCACTGATCCTATTCTCTGTCATCTCCTCTCTAGTGTAAAACCCTTCATGTGAACTTTTTCAGTTATTTTTCGGTTCTATAATTTCCATTTTGTTATTTTTCATAACTTTTATTTCTTTGATGAGATTTTCCGTTTTTCATTTGTTTCTAGAGGATTTATAATTGCTGTTAGAGCTTTTTTTAATGGTTGCTTTAAAATTCTTTTTAGATAATTCCAACATCTAATACTCTCCATGTTGGCATCTGTAGATTGTATTTTCTCTTGTGAGTTGTTATTTTCCTGGTTCTTGATATGACAGGTAATTTTCAGTTCTATCCTGGATATTTTGTCTATTATGTTAGGAGAGTCTGAGTCCCATTTAAATTTTCTTTTTTCATCAGGCAGTCCTTTTGTTGAGGTGTAGTGCAAGGGTTAGGTGTATTTGCATGTTCAGCTTCCCACCATACCCTGCTCATACCATCCCAGCAAAAATGGAGCACTGACTCACACTGCCTCAGTGCAGATGAGTGGCATGGAAGTTTAGCTCCACCCACTGCCCTGCTGACTCCTTTCCCATCTAAGAGGGGCATTGCTTGCCATACCATTTTATTGCCTCTGAATGGGAATCTAAGCTCCGCCCCCAGCTCGGCCCCCATGGACCCAGAACAAGGGGAAGTGGATGACTAACTCATGCTGCTTAGTTGTTGCAGAGTAGAGGCAGAATTTTAGCTTCCTATTGGGCCTCACCTACACAAGAGGAAGGAGGAAGCAGGATGTCAACTACTCTGCCTCATATTGCTCTATTCAGCCTCGTTGATGCTGAGTTGGTATGGAAGCTTAGTTCCCTACTAGGCCTCACTGACACAGGCTCTGGGGAGAAGGGGGTCAGAGTGCTGACTAGCCTTGCCTCATTCCATCTTGGTTTTTCGAGTGGGTGTGAAGGTTAATCTTTACAGGGAGCCTTGCTGACACCAAGAGTGGTAGGAATTGGAGTCCTTACTAGCCCATAATTGCATTACCTTTTTTGGTGTTAATGATGCCAGGTGAGTATAGAGGTTAGCTCCCCATTGAGTCCCACTGATGCTGAAGACAAAGATTGAAGACTAATGGTACCTAATGCTGTCTCACTCTACCTTATTAAGCCTTGGTTGCTGCTGGGTGGAGATTTCAGTTCATTTTGTCAGTGGACTGAGATGACAGTACCCTGGTAAGGGAATTGAACATTGCCTTCCTCAGTTGGCCATGGAATTGGTGATTACCTCTCCAATAAGCCCTGTTGACACTTGCCCCAGCAGAGGAATCAGAACATTATCTGGTTCCACCCAGTCAGAGCATCAAAGATCAGCTACTTGCTCAGGCTTTTTGATATCTTCTGGTAGGGGAATGGGAATTTTGCTTGGCTCTGCCTAGTGAAAAATGGAAGATCATGTGCCTACTCAGTTTTGAGGGTACTGTTTAAAGCTGGAATGGATCACCTTAACTGAGCTGGGGAGAGAGGGAGTCCTATCTCTTGGGCCACACCCATGCAGAATGGAGGTATCATCATGCTGAGCTGAGGGGGGAGGACTTTAGCCATTCTTAATGAGATTTAGTAAGATTTTTGGAATAAATCTGTATTTACTGTATTTCCTTAGAATAATTTCCAGGCATGTTGAATAGTTGTTTTTAAAATAATCTTCACCAGTTATGATGGTTTTTGTGGGGAGCAAGTCTGAGAAATTCCTCATGTACTATTTTCTTCAGTAAGTCTTCCTATGTTGTCCATTTAAAAAATCTGATCATGCTTTTAAAAGTATGATCATACTGCATTCTTTTTTTAGTTCTATCATAACTCCCGTGATGACATATCGTCAGCTGGACGATCTGATAAATAAATGGAACCTTGAACTAGAGGATCAAGAGAAGCACTTTCTTCATCAGGCCAACCAGGTCAATGCTTGGGACCGTACACTGATTGAAAATGGTGAAAAGGTTAGAAGATATTCTCATTACCTGCATTGTACAAGTATTTTCAGATGAACACAAGAGAATAGACCTGTGTTTAGTGGTTCATTTTCTATTTCAATATTAATAATCAACTTACAAATATTTTTTCTAGGTAATAAGTGCACTGAATTAGGAACACTTTCATATTTGAAATGTATATAAGAAAGTTAATATTGCTTTAAAATTACAATATAAATTTAAATACTTACATTATTGTATTCTTATTTTTCTTTGTAGATTACTATTTTACATGGAGAAGTGGAAAAAGTGAAATTAGATCAGAAAAGGTAGAACCTTACACTCCCTAGGTTGAAAGATTAAAGATCTATCTCTGTTTTTTTCCTAATTGTAGTTGATTGCAACTTACTTTGTCACTCCAAATTCCTTTCACCAGCCCTTCTGTTGACTTTTTTTTTTTTTTTTT